CTCCGCACCCCCGCCAGCCACAGCAGACAGTGAGAGAGCTGCGGAGGGGCTGGGGAATTGTTCTGAGTGGGTTCCCCAGACAGAAGCCCCAGAGCATCTGTGAGCAGTGAGTGTATTAGGAGGGGCCCCGGGACCCCCATTTGTGTCGGGGAGGGAGGCCGAACCCCCAGAACTCCGAGAACTGGGGCGGTCCCTCAGAGCTGGCACTACCCGGGCTGGGAGAGGGGCCTGGGTATTCCGTGTCATCTGCCCACAGGGCGCAGGTCACCTCAGGAAGCAGACTCGCTTGGGGGGAAGCCGGAAGCCTTCTCTCAGCTCAGGAAGGAGGTCTTCCCACCCCGAGGGGTCCAGGCGTGGCTGCACATCCCCCAGGGATCCCGTCCGCTGGGAGAAGAGGGGAGGCAGGAAGCAGACACGGGCCCTGGAACGTTCCTTCCCAGGCCCAGGAATGACTTCAGAGAGAAGTGTGTTCCATTGTTGACCTTATCCTCTGGGGTTGCAGAGCTCCGTTTTATAAACCAGTGTTAGGTTTTCTCGGAAGGGATGAGCAGTACCCAGCCTGCGGTCAGGGTCTTCTGTGCTCAGTCGCGTCTCATCTTGACCCTCTGTGATGTGTGCACGTAGGTGTGAGCTTGCTACCCTGTCGTCAGCCGTGAGGGACCATCTCCGCAGCCCTCCGGGGGTCCTTGTGGATGCTCCTGCCTTCCCTGACCTGTTTGCCTGTGGGCATCCTTCACTGAAGCTCCGCTGGCCTGCCCTATGTTCAGAACCATTCCAGGGGCTCGCAGCTGCGAGGGGTCACACAGATCAGCGGGCTCTCCTTCCCTGCTGAGCAGGCGGGAGACGGAGCCTAGGCTGTCACACCTCCTGAGGTCCTGCCTGCCGAGGGGCGGCTTTCTCAGGGACGTCTGTCCTTCGGTCCTTCGCTGCCCATCTGGGCGTCCTCGCCCCAGCCCCCGTCTCTCCACATGCACACCGCATCCTAGATCGTCCATTCAATGCCGTCCCCTGGTCACTCTTGCACCCAGAAGAACCCCATGGCCCGCATGCTCTCTCAGGCCGCCTGCCCCATCGGTCACCCGCCTGTGAAGTACCCCAGAGGTCGGACCCCTCAAGATGCAGGGCCAAATCTGACCACCGGGGGTTCTCACCTCATGGCGGGCCTTTGACTCATCACGTGGGGCGAAGCAGAACCTCAGAGCAGGAGCTTCTTCTCAAAGCCTGCACTGGTGGCATCCCCGCCCTCATGGGACAGCATCTTCGGGGGGCAGGGGCCCCCAGGTGGGGCAGCTGATTTGCTCATGAAGCAGATAAGGGGGTGCAGCTTCAGCAGGTCAGAGGCCAGGCCCCGGGGGCCAGCTCTGTGCCAGGAACCAGGCCCAGCTCTGTAGCTGACGTGTTCTCTCCTGGACTGGGGCGAGGATTCCAGCTTCTCTCCCTCCCAGAGTAGGTAGAGTGTGAACTGGACTGGCTGGCTGGTGTCCTTAACACTCTCTGCATGTTTTGGAAGGTCCCTGACTTCCGGTTGGCAGATACACTCCCTCTAACAGAGGCGGCACAGGGATGCCCCCGCCCCGCCCCCAGGCCTGGTATAGACCCGTCGTCCCTGAATAGATGGCTAAATGCTGGTTTCCTTTCACAGAACGGTCGGGGCTGCGGCAGAAACACGCGCAGCAGCCCATGCATATCAATCACTCCTATTATGAGCCTCGCGCTCGGCAAGGGTGTCTTGACGAAATCAACAAAGCGTGTTCCTCCTCTCAGGGACCAGCCCTTGGAAACCGTGGCAAGCTGCAAATGTATTTCTTAGTTCAATAAGCACAGAATAGCTTTGTTATGGTAGTTTTAATTTCCGTTTTTTCAACTTGTTATTATACGCCTCTTTTGTGGATAAAAATGACAGTCTCGCGGGAGGCCCGCGTTTCCCCTGGCCCGCTTGCTGTCTGCACGTGCGCTGCGGTTCTCGCGAGAAGCCGGTCCTCTGTCTCTTTTGATGGTTTTCAAGGTCGCTGGTGACCACTCTCCTGGGCACCTCGGTTTCGGTCCCTGCGCTGATCTCAGCAGCCAGAATCTCATACCCCCCTCGCTTGCTCACTCAGCTCCAGAACCTCGACTCTGGAGTCACTGAGCTGGGGGCCCTCCAGTCGTGGGAGTGTGGACTCTTCTCTGGCCCAGTGCGGTTGTTTTCCACGGCAGTGAAGTGGATGACCACCTGCCGTGCCCCTGAGAGCAGCATACACGTTTGAGCTCACGTTTTCCACAGGTCCGGAGTTTGGACTCAGCTTGGCTGGATGCTGCCCTGAAGGCTTCACTCAAGGGTCTGGGCCAGGGTGGGGGTCTCACCTGAGGCGTGGGGTCTTGCCGAGCTCACGTGATTGGTGGCAGAATTCATGCTCTTGCAGCCATGGGACTCAGGCACCCTGCTTCTCTAGGGTCAGTCGGAGGATCCTTGACTGCCAGCCTCCCTTCAGGGACAGCCTTGCCCATCGGGTTAGGCCAGACCCACCAGGGCCATTTCTCTCTGGATGGACTCACAGTCAGCTACACCGGGACCTTCATTATATCTGCCCAGTCCCTCCTCCCTTGCCAGAGAGCAGAACCTAATCCCAGAGGGACAGCGCTGTGGCCACAGGCCTCCCATGGTGGAGTGTGGACCCTCCTGGTGTGTGCACCGGCAGCGGTCGGGAGCAGCCTCAGGGCTCTCTGGTGTGGACTGGGGCTCGGACTCACCTCTGTGCGCCCCGGGGCACCCAGTCAGTGTTGCTGGTTACCCGCCTGCTTCTCTGCGCCTTCCTTTCTACCCTAGAGATGCAGAGGTCAGGACTTGGTACGGGGCTGTTACGAGTGACCGTGTTGTAGAAGGTCCTGGAATTCCATCAGCGCCTCCTCATCAGCCTCCTGACTCACCCGTCCCCACGTTTCTGGAATCACGCCTGTTCTCTGGGGCCGGACCCATCAGACACTCTCTGTGACCCACTCGATGTCCTCTAGACAGAGCACGGGGTTTGGGCCACATCACCTCGCACAGACGTGGGCTCTCAGCGGTGGGGAGCGGTGGTGCCAGGCCCATGGGGGTGTAGGCCGTGGCCCCTAAATCTCCAGGGGGCATCACGGGAGCTGCTCGGCTCCTTCCCTGCCTCACTGCCGGCTACGCAGGAGTCCTGCGCAGTTCAGCCATGGGGGTGTGTAGGGGTGTGTGTGTGGGGGGGCGGTGTGTGTGTGTGTGTAGGAGTATGTGTGGAGGTGTGTGCGTGGGGGGGCAGTGTGTGTGTGTGTGCGTGGGGGGAGGGATGTGTGCGGGTGTGTCGGGGTATGTGTGGGGGCTGTGGAGGGGCATGTGCACCGAAGGCTGCAGGGGGGAGGGATGCGCGCGTGTGTGTGTGCATGCAGGCTGTGTGTGTCTGTGTAAGGACAGTGAGTGGGGGGGTGTGCACCACAAGTTGTAGGTATGTGTGTATGGGGTGTGTGTGTGTGTGGAGGGGGGTGTTTGTGTATGGGGTATGTGTATGTCTAGGGATGTGTTTGTGTAGATGGGTGTGTGTGTATGTGTGTGTGTGAAGGAATGTGTATGTGTGGTTGTGTGTGTAGGGGTGTGTGTAGGGGTGTATGTGAGTAGGTGTGTGTGTGTGTGTAGGGGTGTGTTGGGGTGTATGTGTGTGTGTAGGGGGTGGGTGTAGGGGTGTGTGTGTGAGTAGGTGTGTGTGTGTGCGTGTAGGGGTGTGTGTGTAGGGGTGTTATGTGTAGGGGTGTGTGTGTGTGAGTAGGTGTGTGTGTGTGCATGTAGGGGTGTGTGTGTAGGGGTGTGTGTAGGGGTGGTGTGAGTAGGTGTGTGTGTGTGTATAGGTGTGTGTCTGTAGGGATGTGTGTGGGTGTGTGTGAGGTGTGTGTGAGTGTGTGTGTAGGGGTGTGTGTGTGAGTGTGTATTTGTGTAGGGATGTGTGTGTGAGTAGGTGTGTGTGAGTGTGTGCTTGTAGGGGTGTGTGTTTGTAGGAGTGTGTGTATAGGTGTGTGTGTGTAGGGGGTGCGTGTGTAGGTGTGTGTGTATGAGTATTTGTGTAGGGGTGTGTGTGTGTAGGTGTGTGTAGGGTGCATGTGTCAGTGTGTGTGTGTGTGTGAGTAGGTGTGTGTCTGTGTGTGTAGGTGTGTGTGTGTGTGTAGGGGGTGTGTGTGTAGGTGTGTGTGTGTGTGTGTAGGGTGCGTGTGTAGGTGTGTGTGTGTGTGAGTAGGTGTCTGTGTGTGTGGGGTGCGTGTGTAGGTGTGTGTGTATGAGTATTTGTGTAGGGGTGTGTGTTTGTAGGTGTGTGTGGGTATAGATGTGTGTGTAGGGTGCGTGTGTAGGTGTGTGTGTGTAGGTGTGTGTGTGTGTAGGGGGTGTGTGTGTAGGTGTGTGTGTGTGTAGGGGGTGCGTGTGTAGGTGTGTGTATGAGTACTTGTGTAGGGGTGTGTGTTTGTAGGTGTGTGTGGGTATAGATGTGTGTGTAGGTGGGTGTGGCGGTGTGTGTGTGTGCGTAGGGCTGTGAGTGTGTGTGATGTGTGCACCGCCGACTGCAGGGAGGGCCTGCCAGCTGCAGGTGTTCTTGCCCCCGGCTTCACTCAGCCACCTCGCCGGGCGGGGAGAGGCACGTGCTCGGAGCCCCGCTCATCCCCCAGGCTGGCTTTCGCAGCCCTAGGAGCGCGGGCCGTGTCTGGTTCCAGAGGCCCCCGGGAGGGCCCGGCTGGTGACGTTTTGATCTTCGGGAAGTGAGCGGGTGGTCAGCACACGCGGATGTGGATGTGTCTTCTTGGGCCGCAGGCGCGGGGTGGCCGTGCGCCCGCGTCTTGCATAGGATTGTGCGCGTGTCTGGGCCCGGAGGAGCAGTGTCACACGTCCCCGAGCGAAAGCAGAAGCTCCAGTTGCCATGGCAATAGCCAATCGAGGGAGCTGTGACCTAAATCGTGAGTGAGGAGAACGGTCCCTTGTCGGTGTCTGCTCCGCGGCGCGGCCGGGCGGCGCGCATCACCTGGAATGAACTCGTTCGCCTCCGCGGGAGGGACGTCGGCGCCTCTCGCTGCGGAAGCTCTGGAACTGACGCAGGGAAGGGACATGGGGAACGCACGTGGCGCTGCCAGAATCCAGGGGCTGGCCAGGGCGGCGCTCCCCGGGCCCCACGCCGACCTGCGCTTCATGACATTTGGGGGTGAGGACCAGCCTCTCCCTGAACGGAGGCTGCTCCCACGTGGCCCCAGTGGACGGTCGCCTGGAAGCCGGTGCCCACCCTCTTCAATGTGTCCACTAGTGACATGCGCACTGTGCACACACATGGAGCAGAGCAGCGCTCGGGGGCAGGACTGGTGCCAAGCAGCCCCCTGGAGCCTGCGTCGGGAGGGTGAGGTGCCCGCCACCTGAGCTGAGGCAAGGGGCAGCAGAAGGCCGGGCGGACCGCGCAGCCTCCGTGCGGTCTCCCCGCGCCCAGGCGGAGCCCAGGTGGCGGCCACACCTCGCAGTTCACTGGAACCACGTCCCGTCGTCTGGGGGCACCTGGACTTCTGGACGGTGGGCTGCGGCCACAGCGGCTTCCCGTGCCAGCCAGTGTCCCAGGTACCCCTCCAAGCCCCCGGCACCCCGTGGGAAGGGCTGAGTGTGGGTTAGTAAGGACCCTGTGCTCCTGGGGACTCAGATGAGGCTTGGTGGCTGCGGGGCTGACGCCCACCCCGGCACCCTGGGACCAGGGCTCTGGCCTGGGGGCTGCTTCTGGGACACACCGCCCGCCGCACCCCCACCAGGGTTTGCTGAAAAAGCAGGATGGCCCCCTCACTGATTTTCTCCTTGGTGCCCCAAGCCAAGCACAAGTTTCTGTCTTGTCTTATCTCTGACCTGGTGATTTGAAGCAGCACGGCTCTCCCCAGTCCGGCACCCAGGCCGCCCCCCCACTCTCCTTTGAGTGTTCCCATCAGGGTCCCCCTGGAGGGCGGCTCGGAGCACCAGGCTGGGCCTTTCCCCTTTCCAGGCCGTGGAGCCGCCTGCCATGCAGGTGTGGCCCCCAGTTCCTCCCGGCCTGCCCGAGGTTCACCCCCGGGTCCCACCCCCTCCAACACCTGTGGGTGAGCATGGCTTAATCTCTCACTCCTGGCAAGGAAATACCATTTTCTCGTGGACTCTGAAACACTCAGAGTTAAAAAAAATAAATCTCTCCCACCAAGGGGTCAGGCGCCGTTGAGCAGCAGGAAGGTGGGGAATGGATTTGAGGAGGGGGCGCCTGGACCCCGCATTGGTCTCCTGCATGGGTTCCTCTCCTCGGTGATGCTTCCGAGGGTCTCCGGCTGGTTCTCTTGCCATCACACCTGGGCAGATGGGCTCAGGGAGGCTCAGCTGTTCCAGCCGGTGCCCACACCCTGCCCCCGTCCCAGAGTGACCTGGTGGCTGGTCTGCCCATGAAGCTGGGAAGGAACCTCTGTGACAGGAGTCTGCGTGTGGACCGTCTTGGGAGGACCATCTCCTCCCAAGCCTCAGGCTGTGATTCTTACTTCTGGATGCCTGTCTCCTTTTTTTGTATTTCAACTTTAGGAAGTTGTAAATGTAAGTGAGGCTTTGCTGGTGGCTCAGATGGTAAAGAATCCACCTGCCAATGCAGGAGATGCGGGCTCCATCTCTGGGTTGGGAAGATCCCCTGGAGCACAAAATGGCATCCCACTCCAGTATTCGTACCTGGAACATTCCATGGATAGAGGAGCCTGGCGGGCTACCGTCCACGGGGTCATGTCCAGTTGGACACGACTTAGCGACTAAACAGCAGTGACAACAAAATATAAGTAAACATGATGACAGTTCAGCTCAGTGCGTAGAGGTTCTCAAAGTGGCCGTTTGGCGGGGGCGGGGTGGGGGGCGGGGGCGCCCAAGGCGAGCACCTTGCTGGCCTAGAGGCTCTGGTCGGGGGCCTGGGCAGAGCGGGAGGAGGCCTCTGGGTGCTGCGCCCCCTCCCCAGCATGCAGCTCTTTCTCTCTTGTCCTGGGGGGGGCCTTGGCCTGGTGGGCTTCCGCGCGGAGGGACAGACTGCAGCTCTGAGGGCATGCTGGCCACGTCGCCACCCGCTGTACCCTCCGAGAGGGCCCTGCAGGGCGAGTCTTTGTGCTGCCAGCTCTCCGTGTCCTCCTCACTCATCTGCGAACGCGGGGTGACCACAGCTGTGCGCCCTGTCGTGGACTGTCGTGGGGATTGAATGCTTTTGTATTTGTAAAGCACGCTATGTGTGTGTGCGTGTATGCTAAGTTGATTTAGTCATGTCCGACTCTTTGCGACCCTATGGACTATGGCAGGCCGATGTTAATGCTAATGGCTAATGCTAGTGTTACTACTAGTGCATTCCAGTGCTCATACTAGTTTTGTTGTTCAGTCTCAACATATTAATATAGTTTCAGCATAGGTATTAATGTGAGCGTTAGTTACTGGCATCACTTCCGGTGTAGCATCAGGGTCAGGGTCAGGACGGGTGCCAGGTGAGCCTCAGCTGGAGCATCTCTGTGAGTATCGGGGTCAGTATCAGCATGACCAAGCGCACAGTGGTGTCAGCATCGGCGGCAGTGTCGGTACCAGCGTTGCCCTAGTCCGGTGTCAGCGTCTCCAGCAGCACCAGTATCAGTGTGGACATTAGAATGCCAGACTTGTAGAGTGGGGAGCCCGCCTCAGATGTCAGGGCTGGTGGAAACACGCTTGAGCTCATTGTGTACGGATGGGCGAGTCATTCAGAGGGCTGTCAGGGTGGACAGGGGCCAGAATCCCATTTCTTAGGACCCTGCCTGCTGGGCTGCCTGCCCCTGTCTGACGTTCTGCCCAGTTCTCTGTGCCTCCTGCCCAGAACTCCCTGAAGGCCCTCCAGTCTCCCCTGGGACCGGGGTCATCACACCCGCTGTGCCTCCAAGGCGCAAACCCACGTGTTTTCTCCCTTGTCCTCTCGCAGACCCCCAGCCCTGGGGGTGGTAGGTGCACCTTCGCCAGCTCCCTCCCCTGCGCCTGGCAGGCCAAGTCCACTCCTGGTGCCAGGTCCTCTGGCTCCCCGCATGCGATGGTCTGGACCCTCAGCCTCCCCTGCGTGGCGGGAACCTCAGTCCGCGGCCCCCTGTCCCCCAGGCTCAGGTCCACCCGGAGGGTCTCCCGGCCCTTCCCACCCTCTCCTTCCCCATCTGCCGCTCCCAGAGCATCCCTTTGTCGTCTGCATTCTGCCGCAGTCTGTAATCAGCGCGGGCTTCAGCATCTCTCATTACCAGCTCTTGAAGGGATTCTTCAGACTCAGCAAGAACCGCCGCCTGGGCCCCGGCCAGCACCTGCTTCCTGGGGCTCAGGCAGGGCGCGTCTGCGTTCGCCCGTGGCCCTGGGGGTGCCTGGCTCTGCCTCACCTGAGCCACCTGTCTGGGCTTCGGGCGTCGTGGATGATCGGAGCTCTGTCGCCCGGTCCTGCTGCGTGTGGCCACCACAGTCAGGGACGAGGGACCTGGAGATGTGTCCTTGTGAAACCCTGCCTTCCCCAGAAAGGACAGATCACGTCTCATTTGAAAACTCCTGTAAGAAATACGCACGCTGTGTCTGCCTCTGGGCAGTGGTGCACGCTTATGCATGTTTCCAGGTAAGGGGAAACATGCAGAATTGCAAGACCTGGAGGCAAGACGCGAAAATGTGTGAAAGCTCTTACCCAGGTCAGAGCGGGAGACTGAATTTGGAAGGCGCTGCTAGCCAAGATGGAATGAGGCTGCAGCATTTGCCCATGTTCCCCTTTTCTGGAGGCCGAGGTCACCCCAGCTGCTCAGCAAAGGAGAGGTTGCTGGGGACCCTTCCCTGGGGCTGGCAAGCGGTGGCCTTCCCCCTGCCCGCTTCCCAGCGTCATCCAATAACCTCGTATTCAGTTGCCCCAGGACTGTCCCCGCACGCAGAAAGGGGAGGGGACAGAGTACCACGGAATTCAGTAAAAGCAGCTCTGAAGGGGAGAAGGAAAGTGGGGAGGGGGCAGCACTCTCTGGTTTGGAGTTAACAGAGAGACGCCAGGGAAACACCCAGAACAGACAGGGTCCAGTGGCCCACCCCACCCGCTGTGGGCCCAGCAGCTGCGTCTCCTGAGCTGATGCTTCAAGAACCTTCCAGCCCCGTCCAGCACCTCCTGAGTCCACAGCTGCCTGTCCGTCCACCTGTGATGATGCACGGAACACACGAATGACACTGAGCTGCCTTCTAGTTTCATTCTTGCTCACCAGGAGCATCTATGGTCCATGAAGAAGCTTCAGTTTACCAGTGTTCGTACTGGTTCACAGCTAACCTTGGAACAACCAGAGAAGGACTTACAGGAGCTTTGTCAGGGGCCTCCTTTTCTGTCATCTCCTGCCTCGTCTGAGCGGTCCAGAGACCTCCAAGCGAAACCACGGTGACTGCGCCCCATCACACAGGACTCTGCAGTTTCAGAGGCAGATGTCTGGAAAGCAAAGACGCAGAGACGTTGTCAGTGGCCCCAGAGGTGGGCTTCAGTGAGCGTTGTCTCAGCAGAAAGAAAATTTATTTGGCTTGAGAGGCAGATGTTGGAATAGCCAAGGGGGAGAAGTTATCGAAAACACAGCCTCCCCCTGTCCCCCCACGGAGGTAGGACTCTGCTCAAGGCACGGTGTCACTCAGAGACCTGCCCTAAATTTACAGAAAATGTAGGACAGGAAAGGGTAGCCGTGAAGCCCAGCCGTCTGCTACTCCTCCAGGGTGGCTGCGAGCTGCTTTGGTCAACACTGGGCTAGAACATGCACGTGGTGGTCGCCTAGTGCGGGGCTGATCAAACCCCGCTTCCAAGCCACTTGCCTGGAGCCGGTCCCCGGTGGGTCAGGCTCTGTGTCACAGAGGCCTGATCAGGATACGGTTGTCCAGCATCCCTGACCAGACCCTCAACCAGAACGCCAAACCTCCTGCCACCAGAAATTCTGACGGATTCCCTTTTCAAAAATAGCTTGATTTATCTTTTGAGGGTTTTTAAAGTAGCGTATGCAAATGTACAAATTTTTAAGTTATGAGAAACATAGAGTGAAAAAAATCTCTTCCACTCCTGACCCTTGTCACTGGTCCCCTCCATGGAACTGTGTTGTCAGACACTTCCACGTATAGGGACACTTGGGTGTGCACACGCACACACTCACACGGACACTCTTATCACA